CCATAAAAAATTAAGCTAAATCTTTTTTTTTGTGTGGCTATTTTAGCTTCTTGTTCGGCAGAAAATACTGATTTTCTACCTAATGAGATACCTTGAAGATTTTTATTTTTTATTCTTTCTTGCAATGTCGAAAAATGAATGGATTAATCCCTAATGATTAATAGTAATAGGGTATAAATTATAGCATGGGGTAATACCGGTGAACTGACCATCATTGCCTCCTGTTGGCATTTTTTTTCTTAGAATTTTTTACTCGTAAACATGTATTAAAATATTGATCTTTAAAAAAGGAATAGGCAGCTAACGTCATTATAATCAATTGTAACCAATTTAAGATCTACAAGTGAATAAAAATGAATTAAGACCTTATATTACTCAGCATAAAAATAAGATCGAAAACACTGAAAACAGGTTAATAATATTTCTATGACAATGGTTTGCGCCAACTCAACGCTCGTCAGCAATCTGAATACAGAGTAGTGTAGCGACACGTTGGCAGTTATAGAGGTTGACAGATTGAATAGATTTCGCACAATCGGGATGACCGCCATTACCCACTGACCGGTATTTGCACAGTTTACCCTACATAGAATTTACATACCTCCGTGGAAGCAATTTATTTGGTAGGCAAACTTAGTGCAGATACCAGAGATTATATAAGACTGGAAAAAGGAAATTACAGCCGGAAGAAACTAACACATACTAATACATACTAATAACGACTAATACGTACTAATATTAAATACTCGCAAAAAAATTACGTAAGTGACTTTGAAGGCAATTCCCGAAAATTTTCAAACAAACAATGAAATAAAAAAATTAAAGAAAAATAAAAAGAAACAACGAAAAAATCTTTTAATACAGCAAACCTCATTATCATTTATTATTCTCATTTCATTAACACTATGCGAGCTCTGCTAGAAAAGGAAATCAGAGAAGTGGAGAACATTGGGGTCTTGGTCGTTTATGCAGATAACGACAGTGTTTTGTTGACCATAGGAATTAACATTTATTGCAATCTCATCTCTAGAGTATATTTATTATAATACTCTAAAACTAAATTTTTGCTTATTTTATAGCCTTAATAGCAATAAAAATAAATAAGTAAGTAAATAAGTAATATGCTTTATTGTCACTGAAAATTGTACACATTTTATGGACAAAAACAATAAGACAAGAAAGAAGAAAAAAATCAGAATTTCAGAAATAAAAAAAATAATAAAATTCTTCCAAACTTAAACATAAAACATACTACCTAATTAAGAACCTACAAACTTCGTAAAATGTACCTAACAAAGAATAAAAGTTAGGAAAGCAGATTAACGAATTAAGGTCTCAAATATTCCACCTCCTTGTGCTAAACAGTAACCAAATCTGTCATACAGATTTTTCCTCATATTTTGGAGTAGGGCTGTTGTAATGCTTGCTGAGAAATGAAGCATTTTTGCCTTTAATTCGACTAGGTTTGTAGCCTTCCAAACTGATGCCTACAAATGTTTTCTTTAAGAAAACCAATCAACCATCAACCAATCTTTGTATTTATCAGTTGATCAGGAAACGTTTGATTGAGGAAGTCAATAGTTGCTCTAGAGTTGTGAACCGAACACCCATCCTAAAGGCGTCGAACTGTCGGAATGATCTCGTTCTGTAAAAGTTGTAAATATTTAGGCCCGTTTAGATTTCCATCGATAAAAAATGGACCGACAATATGGTCGCCTAACATCCCAGTCTAAACATTTAACTTTTGCGGATGTTGCGTTCGCACTGCAATATTGAGGTGCTTATTTTTTCCGAAAATAATACCTTGCAACGGATGGATTGTGTTTTTTATGTAATGAAAATGAAGATTCGTCAGAAAATAAAATATTTTTTAAAAAGTGTACGATTTTCATTCTGTTTATCTAACATAAATTCACAAAACTTTATCCTTCTAAAGTTATCTTCCGGAAACAGTTCTTGTGTTCGTTGTATTTTAAAACAGTGATACTCATTCCTTTTGAAAACTCGCTGGACAGTTCGAACATTCACATTAACTTCTCTAGCAATTTGTATACTATTGCAGGGTTCACTAGGTTCCACAAAAGCACAAATATCACAATCCCTGTTTTCACGCTCCTCATCGACAGGTCTAACACGTGGTTCATTACCTTCATGACACTTTTTACAACTGTTTACACATCTCAAAGTCTGAAAATGTTTAATGGTATTTTTAACTGTTGTAACACTTGGTTGGGGTCTATTTTCGAAGGCAGCAAAAAATAAATCAATTACTTCGCGAATGACCCTGAAAGTACCATATTACAAGTTGCACTTTTTCTTGGACGGTATACAACGTAAAAGGCATTTTGTTAATTATTTGTCAATTCTTTCAGAACTTAGTTTGAAATTTTTAATATCAATGTGACAATTACGACAATTCATACCTGCTGTGAAATGAATATAGAGGTGGAAACGTGTAACATGTCACAGCGATTGCCATTGGCGTATGGTCAATAATACAATGTCGTGATCTGTAATAGTATATTACATAACGAGAGTTGTAAGAAGCTTATTACATGCGACTAAAAAAGTTGCGCGCGAGCCGCGTAGCGGCGAGCGCAGTAATTTTACAAGCATGTAATAAGCTTACGACTCAAGTTGTGTACTATACTTTTTCTACCATTATTTTCGTTTATAAAAATAAAAATTAAATTACCACTATATTTACACTGACAGATTAATAATTTTTAATCTGTCAAAATAACGTCTGTTAATTCGTTTCCATGGTAACTGGACCAACTGACTTACAAGGCTTATGTGATATTACACATTTTTGTAAAACTGAAGCGTAATTTTTTTATTACGTGCTAGTCATTACGTGTCAGTATCTGTTATGATGCATTTACTTAGCATCCAAATAGCAGGTAATATACAATTTACTAGTAAGCGAGTAGAAAAATACAATATACAATACAGGAATTATTCCTAAAGATTAGCTGATATCTACTTTTATATCATTTCTTAAGAAAACAAATGCAAAGGAATGTCCAGATCATCGAACTATCAGTTTAATGAGCCACAAACCAAAATCTTCCTAAATCATATCGTAATTCCCATGGCCATACATCCACGAATATTGTTAACTTCTTTAAAATAACTTTATTCAAACACCAACAATATTACAATACTTTACTTCTTTTATGCAACGACAACTATTCAAAAATGTTACTGTTATTTAAATTGTCAACATCGTATACACATTTTTTGGCATTCCAAAGAATAATTGACATTTCAAAATTTTTCGATGAAATCTGGAAAATTCTAGACTTTGTATACTTCTTCTTTTTCGCCAAGGGACTTTTTCTATATAAAATAAATCTTACGAAACTGTCGTAATATTTCTCTCTCGCTGAAGAAGCGTAGACAAGAAGAGAAAAAGGAGAAGTGGCGTAGAAAGAAGAGATAAAAATAATAAATAGTTTATTCCAAGTTAATTAATTAGTACAACAACAAAGGATTTAGAAAATAAAATTAAACTATAACCAAACGATTTAAAATTTAATTTAGAAAGACAAGTAGTTAAGTTGAAAGTTAATCCATACTAAAGCTTCTTTATGTAATATTGTTTCAGTAACTAATGTCGAATCAGAACAAACAGCTTCATAATCTTCTATAGTTACATCAGACACAATGTGAATTGGCAAAAGTGTTAAAACCACCCACATTCCTATTTAGCTTTTTCAGAAAATGCTGGGATTTTGACGTGGACAGCGTAGGTTTGGCCGGTGTCTGGACAACGTTTATAGACAAAGACTTCCATAATTATTAGTAATAAGTTGTTCAGCGTATAGGTTAGTTGTTTTATCACTAACTCAAAGAAATCGTCATCAACAAAAAGACGAAATATTGCAAACATATCTGCATTTTATGGAATGTTTTCAGTATGTATGAAGTTTTCTACTTGAGTTACTAGTTACTGAATTACTAAAAATTTTACGATCTAATGACTGAATGTCGTAATTCCATCCATTTTCCTCATAACGTTCTTTCATTTGACGCTCTGTAATTGGTATTGTGTCAGTTCTTGAAGCTATATTTATTTCAATATCTCTGTTGTCGTCAGAATCGGAATCAGGTGGTGCAGTTATTTGAAATTGTTGTGAAGTGTCAATAGAGTTGTCGGGAGATATATACATACAAGACGGGATGGATGAGATGTCTCCACACTTTCAAGGCATATCACTACGGTCGGTTACATTTTCTTCATTTGACGAATTTGACTGACTATATTGTTCGTAATCAGTCTTCTAATATTCTTTGCAACTCTTCCTCTGTATAGCCTCGTTTCTTACTCATATTGCCGGAACTACTTCAATTCAACAAAAAAAGCACAAAAAATACAAACACGTCTGTTTTGTTTTGATTTTCTAAGATTATATTATTTATCTACGGTTTTGATTTTCGACTAATGTCATAAACTTTATTTGTCAATCAAGTAGCTAATTCCACGTATGTTGTCGTCTTAGAACATAAAGAAGACCTAAGGATATCGCAATTGATAATAATTTGTCTATGACATTTCATATTTGATGCATATAAAAATAATTAAAATGAGAAAAATACGCACCTACAATGTTCTGTGGACTTACAAGACAGCTTTTGGTCATTTTTGTTCTAGAGAGCCCACATTATTTATTTATTTATAGCCATAAGATATAAATTTTCACAAAAATATAACTGGACTTTTAAGCAATTTCCACTCTAAAACCTGGACAGTGACCCTGTTAAGGTATTTTTCCAATGAACTCGTATTATTTTGTACAGAAAAAATAATTTAAGACAAAAACCATATATTCTAATATATAATATATTACAAAACCAATGTCCCTTAAACCTGCTCACAACTATGTTTTAAATATTCTTTAGAATTTTTCCAATAATAAAAAAATTATAAAGGATCAAAAAAGCTTAAATTAAATTTCAGTCGGAAAATCTAATCAAGAGAAAAAATCTGCACTTACTTCTACAACTCTTTCGAGCAGCGGTTCCAACCAATTCGCGTTGCACTCACAGTGGCTATCTAAAAATGTCAAAACCGAAGCAGTTGCGGCATCAGCACCTTTTACCCTTGATCTCATCAATCCTTCCCTTTTATCGTTCCTTAGAACTCTTACTTTTTGAATTTTTGCCAATTCTTCGCCGTCGGTAGCTAAAAATAAAAGAGTTAAGATTTTTATTATTGTACTCGAATATATAACAGGCGTTAAGGTCTTATAGGGGACAAATCACTCGAATGTTTATTCTCTCATTATTAAGAAAAAATTAAATCCAAATATGGAAGCATAAAAATATACATTACAGTAGTTTTCTGTTATAATTACTTAAAAAAATATTAAAGTAAAATACAATATAATAAAAATAAATACATTAACATTAAAAGAGAAAAGAAAATCGCAAAAAAAACAAAGTTAAAAACACTTTCTCCCTCTGTAGTGCAATCCCTCTATGGAGTGTTGGACGGTTGTGCATGTCTTGTCTAGACAAAAGTGTAAGATGGTGACTCGCGGGGTCAGCGCATATTCCTTTTTGTTCATTCTCTGCCTAAACTATGTAATAGTTTCTTCCATTATCTTCTACTTTTGGCTTTGTTTTTGCCTTCACCCCATCTTAGTCAAATTTTTTCGTGTCCTGTGGTTATACTCGTAGTTATTTTCCAGCTGTTGTCTGGTCTTCCCCTATTTCTTTTTCCCTCTGGTAAGTATTCAAGTGCTTGTCTCGTTATGTTGTTTTAATCGTTGTTCAAGATATGGCCAATTCATTTCCACTTTTTTTTCTTAAATATCGTAGGTATATTAGTTTTTTTTTTAAAGTTATGTATTGGTTATTCTGTTGGGCCAATATATTTTCAGGATCTTTCTTAAATATTTGTTTACAAAAGTTTTTTGTTACAGTTTCATCCTATTTCCATGTTTCATATCTATAAAGTAGTGTTTTATATATTTTTTTAATTAACTTTTTTATAATTAACTTTATTCGGAACATCGACAATAATACGATACTTAATACAACTTTAACTCAATTGCAACTATAAACTTTAAAAACTCAATTACTACTGTTACAAACTGTCACAACATCTTTTCAAATACATTTTCTGACATTCCAGATTTCTCTACAAAGTTCTTCTTCTTTTTCGTCATATGATTTCTTCGATGTGGGATAAATCTCACTGAACTGCCGTTATACTCTCTCCTTTGTAGTTATTCGACTCGAATAACTGACCTATCGGGGACCGATTAAAGCCAACTACCTTGGGTTTACTTCTAGCTGAAAACAGGATTCAGTAGATTAGATCATTTATTTGCTGTATTATGGTATAAACGCCTTCCGAGTTTCGTTGAAGTTCCGGACTTACTTTCGAAGATGTGAAATTGATTGTATAACCATTGGCTTTATCACTTTAAAACTTTAAACTTTTGAGAGCAAATTCGTAGACTTTTTCCAATTTTTCTTTCAAATTTTCGATGTACATCAGGGATGAACGTTCTTCTTCATAGGGAGGCAACCTTTCAAAAATCAGATCTTGAGGAAGCTTCATTTCTCTTCCGCTAATTATCATCGATGGAGAATAACCGGTTGCTTCATGTTCGCAGCTTTTATAGCCTAACAGAAAGGAATTAAAGTATTCCAATTTTTTTGATTATTAGCGATAAAGATTAAAAAGTAATGACAAACATAATAGACATTCTATTATGTCTTTCGACCATTCCGTCTGATTGAGGATGGAGAGGCGTGGTGCGAGTTTTTTAATACCCAATATTTTCATTAATACATAATTCTGATTTAAGGTTTTGTCCTTGATTAAAATTTAACTCTAAAGAAACTCTAGGTCATGATAAGACATATGTTATAAATTCTTCTGTTACTGTAGTGGCTTCTTGATTAGGAAGGTGTGCAATTTAGTGTTTTTCCATTCAGTACGACCATTAAGCACTTGTTTCCTCTCTCTCTGTCATTGGAATAGACTAGCTATTTTTTGCTGGAATCCCTTCAGGATGTGCCCAATATCGATAATCACGATATGCGCCAGTCGCAAATCCTGTGCTAAATTTTTTATTTAACAAAATCTGAAAACAATTGAAAATTTCTCATTTTTTTGCTCCTATTTTAGTTTATAATTCGGAAAATATTGATCCTAGAGAAAAAATTATAAGAAGTTAAAAGTTTCGTTATTCAATTTTACACAATAAGTCGTTAGCTAGAAATTGAAAATTTATTGTTTATTGTTGAAAAAATAGCAATAATTGGAAAAAAAAGTACAAAAAAATAAGTTAATCCTTTAAATGTTTTCGACTTTTTAAACTTGACTTACAAGCTCCATATTCCGCCTAGAAAAACTTTTTAGTATGTTTAAAACGTGTGCTAAATTTTTTAAGATCGGTCGGATAGGTTTTGCATAATAATTTTGCAATCCAGCCTACTGGATAAAAAATCGCAAATTTTCAAATTTATAGTAGGCCCTAAATAAGCCCTCAGATAGTTGCATTTTTTTTTACATATAAAGGAACGCTCAAACTTCCAAACGCTTTTTGTAAAATTCAAATCGGTTTCACTAGGAGAGCCTAGAAAAATTTTTTAAAGTTTTCAATTTCTAGCTAACGAAATATTGTGTAAAATTGAATTACGTAACTTTTAACTCCTTATAATTTTTTTTTTCTAGGATCAATATTTCCGAATTATAAACGAAAATAGGAGCAAAAAAATGTGAAATTTTCAATTGTTTTCAGATTTTGTTAAATAAAAAATTTAGCACAAGGTTTGCGACTGGCGCATATCGTGATTATCGATATTGGGCACATCCTGAAGGGATTCCAGCAAAAAAATAGCTTCCTATGGAAAATGTCCAATCCAAAACAGATCCCGTCTAGACTAGAAGTGTATCGAGAATATCCACCAAAGTATTTAAAAAAACTCACCGAAAAGATATTGTGCCATTTTACTACTTCTTGTTCTAGGTCCTTTTCTCCCGTTACATAAATCGCATTTTTTAAACCACGCTTCTACATCTCGCCGACAATTGATCCAGTAAATCTGTCTCGAAATTTGGCCAGTTTTCTTTGACTCTTCTTCTTTTTCTTCTTCTTTATACGAAATTCTGCTTGTTCATTGGAGGATTAATACCTCATTTGAGGTCTCGTTTATTACAGTTTAAAGGTATTCGTAGAAGTTTTTCCTTGTGGTGGTATCTCTGTTGTTCTCTGATGCATATATTGCTATCACATTTAACTGTGATTTAAGCTGATGTTTAACATCCAGTTTAATTTTTACACTATTCTTTCAGAGATATATTTACAATCTTGTACTTGGTGTAAAAAACTTTTTTGTACTAATAGGGCGACTCCTTCTTTGGCTCTGGTCGTATCAGATAGTCATCTGGCATAATTTGACCCTACGAATTTCTGGTAACAAACCTTTAACGTGTGATTTTGGCAGTACCGTTTATTAAACTGTACGTATTCTATCAGGAATCTCCCACTTCCGATATAATAGACCATTGGAAATACACATGATAGATACTCATTGATCCCAGTACGCCTTTATAGTTCCCCTCTATTTGGTAATTTCCTGCTAAGTAGGTCTTTTTTAGACTCCATTTTTAAACCATTCTTATAGTCTCGTAGACTTTTAAGACATGACCTTTCTTTTGACTCGTTTTAACGTTTTCGAGGAAACTCCAATTGTTATCTTCTTCCTGTTTAACTATAGTCCTACGGAGACTTACTTCTTCGGTTACATTCTCTCTTTTCTTAAGCTGATATTGACTTTTAATCTCTAATTCGTTCAAAGCATCTTGGAGTTTTTTATTGATATTTGAAATAAGCTTGAGAAATATAATAAGAACCGGAAAAGGTCATAGACGAACTTAAGTGGAAGATTTTATCCAACGTATTACAATACTAAAAATTGAAATAGCCGTCACATGTTGCAAGACTAAAGATGATATTGTTCAAAAAAATTGCTTGAGTGGAGATCACTGGCAGACAAGCGAAGCTGGAGAAGACCCCAACGCGATTGACCTCAAAAACATTGTGACCAATGAGAACACAATGAGATATAAATATCTAGAGGAGACCTATGTTCAACGATGGACAAATCAGGGTTAATTGATAATGATGATCCTTACTGTCTAGCCATATTTAACTTACTTTTTATTTACTACAGAATCTATTTTGTTCTCTTGTTCAATGAATTGGCTATAGAACTAAATTGATATTTGATATTGATTTTTTTCATATTAGTTATGTGTTTTGATTTAAAAATGCCTAAGCTACCTTCTAATTCTTTGATTTATGTTTTTTCACTTTTCATACTATTAATTACTGTTTCCGTACTATTAGTTCTTTTCTTAATCCCTATATACTAATATGATATTTATAAATTCTCCTAAAGTAAATCCTTTTTTAATTACGTTGCCAACTGTCTAAAGATACCTGATTCGAATATTTTGTACTACTGAGCGACAGGGGTAGGTCTAGAGATGAACTATAGTAAAACCAAGACTATGACAAACCAAGAAGACCAATTAGAAATAGTAGTCAAACAGAATAAATTAGAGCAGGTGGCAGAATACATATACCTAGGACAGATAATAAAGCTGAACAGGGACAATCAAACAGAAGAAATAAAAAGAAGAACTAGACTAGCATGGGCCTCATTTGGTAAACTATCATATATTCTAAAAAATACAAAGTTCCCTCAATATATGCGAACGAAAGTATTCAACCAGTGCATTTTACTAGTTATCACATATGGCTCACAAACGTGGACTTTCACAAAGGAGAACATCGACAGGATATCCAAAACACAAAGAGCAATGGAAAGACAGATGCTGGGTATCGGTCTTAAAGACAGGAAAAGAAACTCATGGATCAGAGTAAAAAAAATCAAAGGTAAACGATGTATCAAGACAGGTTGCAAAACTTAAATGGAACTTCGCCGGTCACACTCTCCGGCAAAAAGATGAAAGATGGAATAAGCGAATTCTACACTGGAGACCATGGGAAAAGAAAAGAAAAAGAGGAAGACCACAGATGAGATGGACTGACGATCTTAAGAGAACGGCAAGAAAGGACTGAATGCAGATCGCCCAAAATAGAGACCAATGGAGATTAACAGGGGAGGCCTATACCGAAGAGTGGGCGTTTAAGGCTG